TATAGAACTTCAAGATCGGGTAAAAGGCTATGAGCTTTTGCTCAGGCGTAAAGATCTTGAAATCAAACAACTCAAACTCATCAATACCGAACTGCATACTGAAAATAAAGTACTGAAAACCAAACAAAACAGGCTTAGTGACTCCATTGTTCAACTTGCGGAAAATACAGATAAGCTGACATCCAAAATAGCTCTGGCTTCCCGATTGAAGGCGGAAAGCATATCCGTAGTGGCGTTCAACGCCGGGGATAAGAGACGTACGCCGCCTTCCGAAGTAAACAGATAGCAAAAATATTGGCTATTGACTCACCATTGCAGAAAATAAAGTAGCTCCATTGAAGGGAAAAAAATTCTTATCCGTGTCTCCGATCAAAACGGGCAGGGTGATTTTTTTGATCTTGCCCGGGGTTCGGGAACATTCATGGTAGACGGCAAGGAAAAGAGTTTTATACCACTGCTCAGGAAATCCTTTTCGATAATACCTCTCAAAAGTAACGTTCGTATATGAAAAAGGGTCTGCGTATTCGTCCAGGAACGTATACCGTAGAGGTTTTACCGACGACTACCGATGGGCGGCACGCAGTTTACCGTCAAGTAATCCCCTACTCGTTTAAATAGCCCAGTTGTATTCCCTAAATTTGATACGGGCTTCTGTCGTCAATTTTTGGAATGGGCGTATTTGAGATAAAATGCAATCAGGGTGCCTCCCTGAGCAAAAATCGCCCATAAACCACTGAAAAAGCATGGAAATAGACATGCTTTCCGGTGCAATAGCGTTGTACTTGGGGTCGTTGATAAAATAAAACGGCCTGATCCTGAAGTTGTGCTTCTAATTTGTCGGGTGTGTATGCTTCACGGCGAAGCGGAGGGCAGGAATACGAAGCGCAGTTAATGGCAAAATGTATTCTGGTTCGTTAATTCTTTTCTCTCAACACATCGTGTTCGATATCATTAAGGCTGGTAGGGTTACCCCCTATTTTAAAAAACCGCTTATCCCAAATGGTTTTTAACCCATACCGCTCACGAGAATGGAATCGGTAATGCTCTTCAAAGGGTAATGGTCGATAATCAGTTTTACGGTAAAAGCAATTATAACGCATTAATCCAGTATGCCAATTGTTCATTTCTACTCCATACCGTCTTATCGGTGGGTGGTTACTGAGTTGATTAAAAATAAGGTATGTTACGAGTTGTTCTCGATCTTTTATAAAGCCTTTATAATCTATAACTTTCCCTGAGCGTGTACATGGTGTTTTAAAAAGCCCGTCCACAGCGCATGATCCGGGGGCTGTGTAAACCGTGCACCGTAAGCCAAAAAGTAAAGCCGATGAGCAGAGTCGGTACGATACTGTGTCGTCCTATCCAAAATCTGCGTTGCGAATGAATCATGTTTTGTCTACCAAAATAGAAAGTTACTTTTTTTAATGCTTCTCCACAAAAACCAAACCCAAGTCATGCCGGAAATATAAGGTGGGCATGAAAAATACGATAAGTGTAGTACGAAAAAAAAGTACTGTATTTTTTTGAAAAAAGTAATCAAAATGAATTCTAAAGTAATATATTCGCCCTTTATTTAGATTAATTCTAAAAAAAACATGGCATGGTATATAATAATAAACTAAAGGGCTATATTACGGCACTTATTAACTAAGAATAATAAAAAACTGTTTCTATCGGTACTGGGGCAGCTGCACCTGTTTTGTCCCCTTTTCCATCCTCAACCGTCCACGTTTAACAGGGACAATACACGAAAAATACATAGTTCTACCGCATTAGCAGGAGTGTAATGTGTATTTTTAAGAATACCGATTTGATGGATGCCAGCGATGCCTACGGAAGGTATGAGATTAAAAATATTGAACCGGGACATTACGAGTTAGTCGTATCCAGTATAGGTTTTACCACCCTCAGGAAGAGTATATCCATTGAGCCGAATAGTACCGTGAAAATGGACTTTACGATGACCGAATCCATCACGTTGCTACCGGAAATGACGATCATCACGGGTGGGATGCAGGGGAAAAAAGAAATTCCGGGGTCGGCATATTATATTTCCGAGAAAGAAATGAAACGTTTTGGGTACACGGATTTTCCAAAATACTCCCCGAATTTCCCCCGGTATCAAAAAATACAGGGGGAAGAGCCCCTTTGGGTTGGTCCTAATATAGGACTGCGGGGCCCCCGGGGGAAAGAAGGGCATTCCCAAAAAATAAACTTTAAATGGAAGATGGTGTTGCTTCCCAGCCACCCGCTCCTTATTACCGCTCCGGCAGCTTTATTATTTTCCTACGTTTTGGGTAGAAATGACAGTCGGTGGAGATACTCAAAGGCAGCCAGTCAGGTTATGTTACGGACCGTATATTACAGGGGGTGCTATTCAATCTTTATTTTCAACGCAGATCCCGGGAGTATTTTGCCGGGGAACGAGCCAGTTTTGTAGGAGGCAGTTATGGAAAATCAACTTTACATGCTTATATTTTGGGGGAAACAGTTATAAAATATAGGTATAACTTGGGGTTAGAATCTTTTCAATTGGGGTCAAATGGTTTCAAGGAATTGGATTAACAAATACGGCAATACGGGTTTTACCCCAAAACAAGGGACTATCTGGCAAAGGTTTGCGCATAAACACAGGATGAATCCGTGCCGATCTATCAATCTCTTTTGATGGCTAAAAGTAGGGTACGCTCTAGAGACATCAAATGAAACGTATTTAGGGCTGACCGAAGAAGATTTTTTCAGGAATACTCCGTAACCGCAGGTATGCAGGCAGTCAAAAAAATCAGATGAAATACATCGCAGTCTCAGACCTCGTTTAACGTACCTTATAAAATTGTCAAAAGACTTCAGATCACGTCTACTCTATTACTATACGGGTTTTCATCGAAATTGGTATAAAACCGATAAGGTGATCAATACGGAAGGGTAATCCTCTTCCATAAGCCACGCTCCTGAGAGACCCCGAAACGATTTCCAGAGAGCATGGCTGTTCTGCGTGGAGCAAATTACCCAGCATATGGGTCCTTACAGGTGAAGGCCAATAACCGAAGGTATGTTGCAAAAGGGTTACAAACGCAAATGAACTGGACGTTATCATACGGGAGCCAGTGGAACACGAAATGGCGTTGGTCTAAGATGGCCACCAAGGATCAGGCAGATCGTTTCCAATGGGATTGATTCAAGTATACAATGAAGCAAGGAACATGCTGCCGTTCTCATCGCGGTATTCCCGGCACGGAAAGCAACAGGATTGACCAAAACTAACCGCTTGGGCGTTGTTTGCACAATACCGCATTAAAAAACAGGAGCCTTCCAAGCCAATACCGGGGCTTACGGTTTTGAGAATATACAAATGGTAAGGATGGATTACGGAAAAAAACGATCCGGAACGAGACGGGGTTGATCTGACCAAACGTTTCAATACCGTAAATATATGGGGTTCCGGGAATTGGTTTAAAAAATATTCAGGTCAATAACTCTATACGGGAACTTTTTTGGGTTTTCAAAAAGGGGTTTCCCAACCCCCGGGGTTCTAACGAGAAACGAACCCCGGGGATTTAAAGGTATAAATTATAAAAGGGGGGTGCGTTTGGGAAAAAAAAATCAGGGACAGGAAAAAGGGGTTTTTATTTTTCAACGATTACAAAAATTTCTTTTGGGCTCAGACCTAAAGGGCCTTGCCGAAGCGGATCCGGGGGAAATTTGAACAACGGGGGCCCCAGACCCCAAAAAAACACATGGGGTTAGATTTTTCGTTTTACCGCAATAGGATCACCTCAAAAGCAGATTTAAATTTCCCTTATCTGTTGATATACCCACGAACGCTGTTTCAGGGAATACTTTGCAGCGAGTTCCAAAGGGTTTTTGGGTTTTGGTAGATAAGGGGATAAATTTCCCCTTTATCTGCCAATCATAAAGTTACGGCTAACGTATCATTAGAACATCGTACGTTCGGTGTACACGTAAGTACCCGGTATTTGGGGCTTATGCGCACCCTTCCCGGTCAGGGGATCATTCCGGAAAACGAAAAGATAGGTGACTACTTTGTCGTTGATGCCACTGCTTCATACACGTTGTATCCGGGTATAGTACTCTGTACAAGCGTTACAAATCTTATGGATCAGGTGTATGCAGTAGCCCGAAGACCTGCGGGGCTGCGTCCCGGATTGCCCCGTTCCATTCATATCGGGCTGAAGGCCAATTTTTAGTACCCCTCCTGATGCTGAAACGGGAAGCTTGATCACAGGGAGATGGTAGCTCAAAAGAGAAAAAATATTTATTATGGAACAAATTATCCCATTCTAATTTTAGATAAATCAACTTTTTATATCTTTGCATTCCTAATTAACCTCCGAATGATATGAAAAATTACGAAACGGTACTCATTTTAAACCCCGTTTTGTCGGCAGATCAGGCAAAAAATATCGTGAGTAAATTCACAAAAATCCTGACTGACGGAAAAGCAAATGTATTGAATGTGGAACAGTGGGGGCTAAAAAAGCTAGCTTATCCTATTCAAAAAAAGTCAACGGGTTTCTATAATCTAATCGAATTTGAAGCTGATGCCAACCTGATTGATAAATTGGAAATTCAACTCAAAAGAGATGAGTCTGTAATGCGTTTTTTAACCGTATCACTTGACAAGCATGCTTTAGAATTTAACCGGAGGAGGCGTAATGGGGAATTCAACAGGAAAAAAGAAAAAACTGCTAAAGAGGAGCAACTTGCCGTATGACACTAATCAATGAATCCCTTAAACGGGTCGAAAACAAACCCAAATACTGTCGATTTAAGAAGACGGGGATAAAATATATAGACTATAAAGATTCTGATTTTTTAATGAAATTTATAAATCCTCAAGGGAAAGTACTCCCGCGCAGGCTTACAGGTAACAGCTGGAAATTTCAGAAAAGAGTTTCGCAAGCCATAAAACGAGCACGTCATCTGGCTCTCCTACCCTACGAAGGGGATGATCTGAAATAATAATATAAGCAACAGTAATGGAAGTCATTCTTAAAAGTTATATCCAAAAACTCGGTTATGCCAACGATATCGTGGAAGTTAAACCCGGGTATGGCAGAAATTACCTGATCCCCAAGGGTTATGCTATTTTGGCTACAGAGGCAAATAAAAAAATAGTAGCTGAAAATGCGCGTCAGGCTGCCCACAAAGAGGCCAAACTCAGACAGGATGCCGAAGCTATTGCTGAAAAAATAACCAATACTACCTTAGAAATTGGTGCCAAAACCGGGGAAAAAGGAAAAATATTTGGATCCATAACACCTGCCCAAATAGCTGAAAAGCTCAAATCTCAGGGCTTTAATATAGATCGTAAGCAAATCTTTATGAAAGACAGCCCTAAAGAGGTAGGTCTTTACTCCGTAACGGTTTTGATTTACACAAAGAGGTAAAATGTTGATATACAAATCAGCCGTTAATCACCGAATAATAAGATAAGACGTACTAAGTGTTGTTTTTTTTCTTTTTCCTGATCCATGCCGGTTGACTATTTTGTCTTACCAGTTCTTTATACCATAATCCCCGTATTTAAACGGATCAACGGTTTTTTCAAAAACACATACAGAGAACCCCCAAGTGATGATACCATGATACAGGCGGAAGAACAAATATCCCATTTGTGGTAATTTGAGCGCTTCAAAGTTTTTTTTCCGTGTAACGCGAATGGGGTACATATGGCAGGAGATCGGTTTTCTAAATGTTGTTTTGCCCTCTAGATAAGCTTTTTCAATCCCACACTGCAACACGCCCTGTTCACTGTACACAGCATAGGCACACTCCCTTGCCTCCAAACCGTGGGGGTAGAAAAGTCCCCATCAACATCGTGCACATAAGCTCCATATTTTTTTATAGACTCAGCTCCTTCACGGGTTAGATAGGGGTGGATGACTTCTGCAATAGATTCCAGTATAGGCAATTCCGCGTCTTCTAACGGAGCTCCCAGCTCTCCTTCCACACAACACGCTCCTTTACATTGATTCAGATGGCATACAAACTCTACTTCTTTAATATCATCCGATACAAGTACATCTCCTACTTTTAACATTATTTTTCAAGTTATGATTAAAAAAATCGAATATACTTGTTTTATATTCCTCCCTCTTTCCTGCTCAGGACAAGCTTGGTTTGCAGAAGTACATGAATCCGAACAATAAACGATATAGAGTACGTTATAAAAATAACAGTACCATACCGATCCTTTGTCTCTTATAGCGACATCAAAAACATATTTTTTAAAAAGAGTAGTGCTCCGTTTCTTTTGAAGGAAAAGCAATATTATATACCTTTGCGGAAGCTAAAGTGCGTGAACATGGAGAATGTAAGATCCAAATACACTATTGGAAATAAGATATAGTATGGCAAGAATACGATCGGCATTCGTTGAAGTGATTGCATTGACTATAAAGCGAATAGAGAACCATTAATCAGACTTATGAATTCACGCGCTGACGAGTTATAAAAAAGGATTTGATGCAAAGAAGCATATCAAAACACCCGATAGCAGTATTGTCTTTTCAACACTGTGGTGGAACACAATTCATGCCGGTATTCAGGCATGCACATAAAGCAGCATCATGACTAACAAATGGTTCGCATAAAAACCTTAATGCGGAGAGCATAACACCTTATTTCTCTCGCAAAAAAAAATTTTCAGCAACAGTATTGCTCGAATCGGCATCACTTATGGCTCGGGGAAGATATTCTGTACTCATGGTACGAGAGGCCTTCCGGATACACCAAGATGCTCGTGGAATACACATGCATACGTCGAATAAAGAGCTTCAGGTCAAAGGAGCGTTTCGTGACATATTGGATTTACAGCTTTACTTTGCAAAACAATTTGAAACGGATAAACATTCTTTTCCCGTACCGGCAGGTGGTGTAGGTTTCTTATCTTTTGAATTTGCACAACACTGTGATAAAATCACTTTTACCGCAAAAGAACATCAAGTCGATATACCGTTAGCTGCTTTTCTCTTTGGGCATATTTTTCTTATCTGCGACCACTATACCAATCTGTTGTATATACTAGGGCTAAATTATAAAGAATTGCAGTATAGATTTAAAAAAAGCCATGGATGAAGTCGAAGAACGTCTGAACGATCTGGACTTTAATTACCTACGCAGCTCATCGGATCTATTCCATAATACAATCGTATCGGATGAAGCCAGCATTGAACAACACTATAAGAAAGGGGTTGAAACAATTCCGAGAAAGAAATTGAGCGGGGAGAATATTACCAATGCGTTCTGTCTCGTAGAAGAATAATTCAGACCGATTATGACCGGGCTAGACGCCTACCGTAAATTGCGTAATACCAGTCCGGCCCCCTATTTATTTTTTTTGGATTTTGGTCCTTATCAAAATTCTTGGCGCCTCGCCGAATCACACCTAACCGTAAAACGAGGTAGGGCACAAGTACGACCTATAAGCGGGTAACAACGACCTCGTGGAAAAAACTATGAAGAGGATCTGGCCATGGAAAGAGAATTATTGGCAGACCCTAAAGAAAGGGCTGAACATCTCATGCTTGTAGATTTAGCACGCAACGACTTGGGCAGAGGATGTGTGATCAACTCCATTAAAATAGAAGAATATATGCACATAGAACATTTTGCTAAAGTGATGCATATTGTCTCCTTGGTCTCGGGACAAATAGCCCAAAGCAAATCCAGCATAGAGCTGCTAAGAGCAAGTTTTCCGGCAGGTACCGTATCCGGTGCACCTAAAATAAGGGCTATAGCTTCCATTGATAGGCTCGAGCCCTATCCCCGGCAGGTTTATGCCGGTGTCGTTAGGATATATGAATGCCGGTGGTGACCTGGACACCTGTATAACCATCTCGCAGTGGATTGAAATACGAAGATAAACTCTATCTTCAGGCAGGCGGCAGGCATCGTATACGACTCTACGCCAGAAAGGGAATATCAGGAATGTGAAGAAAAATTATCAGCCTTTATGCAGGCCATTGGTCTGAGCTCAAATTCATGATAGTACTTTATTGATAACTACGATTCGTTTACCTATAATCTCTACCAGTATCTCAAAGAGATTAGTAATAAGGAAGTCCGTGTGGTGCGCAACGATGAAGCCACCGTCACCGATATCCTGAACATGAACCCAAGTCATATTATCATTTCTCCAGGGCCGGGGTAGACCTGAGCATGCAGGCATCACTGTAGCACTTATCCGCAAAGCAGCCGGACACATCCCCCATTCTTGGAGTATGCTTGGGCATGCAGGCCATTGCTGTTGCCTTCGGTATGAAGATTATGCGCCTCCCAACGTATTGTTCACGGTAAAACAGATCAGGTGGAACACGATGGCAAAGGAATATTTCGCTCGATTGCTTCGCCTGCAACCTATACGCGCTATCATTCTCTAGCTATAGATTCATCGAACAAACAAGGGAAATTTTAAATCATGCCCATCTCCGAGATGAGATAAGGGGATGGACACAGGTCATACCCTTTAAGGGCGAAGTTTTTCCCCAGTCCGTGGCCAGCAAAGAAGGAAAAAAATTATTGGGCAACTTCCTTCACTACCGCAGAGAAGCTTTTATTCCAAGGAATACACTAAATAAACTGCTTGCCGGATTTTCCCTGGAGCAAGAAGAAGCTCAACGCTGGATGGAAGAAGTAACCGTAGAAAACATATCGCCTGTTCTTCTATCAGCCTTCCTTACTGGCCTTTCGTATAAAAAAGCCCAACCGATCGAGAGCTGCCGCTGGGTAGCTACAGCTTTTCTGAACCACGCGCGTCATATCCCCTTGAACGGGAAACTTTTGGATACATGCGGAACAGCGGTGATCAACAAGATACCTTCAATATAATCATCTATTACGGCGCTGATGGCAGCAGCCTGTGGCGCCGCGTAGCAAAGCACGGCACCGTGCTGCTCAGTTCTCAATGCGGTAGTGCTGACTTCTACCAAGCACTTGGCATTCCACTGGAACTCGAACCTCAAGATGCCGCCACGCTTATTGGAAAAAACCCCAATTTCACATTTCCTTTTTGCTCCCTTGTTATCATCCAAATAAAACTCTCCGGACAGGTACGTCGGAGTAACTCGGCATCAAAACTATTATTGAACTTAATATAGGTCCTCTGGTATCCTAGCTCAAGCAAGCCATCGCCGTAGTAGGTGACGTACGACGGCACTACGACAAACATAATGGCAAAAGCCGCCAAAGTCCTAAAGGTGACCAAGCATTTTTTTTTCCATGCGACGATGTCAGGATGAAGATATCCGTTACCGCCTACTACACAAGGCTTTATGCTTCATCCCAATGGTGAAATCATTGCCCCATGAACAATTAATCCCAAAGAATATCAAATCCCAAACTTACAGCCTACGTGACCTACAGGGGGGTAGAGCGTCAGAAAAAATGCAAAAAAGCTGGAATATTGCACGCGGAAGAGGTAAAAAAGGAATTCGCGATGCCATGATATTAAATACTGCCTGCGCTCTTTTTATTTATGACGCTGTGGAGTCTATTCAAGATGGAGGTAATAAGTAGAGAAGAACTGGCGCGCCGCAAACTCGAGCAAAAAATGGAAGAGAAAATAGGATACGCCAAGACACTACCGTGGTGTCGCAATTGCGATACAAAATATACCGCCAAAAGTGTACCCTAACGTGATAGAGCTAATACCCTCGAAAAAATAGTCGGGAACAAAAAAAACGTTTTGCTACGGGGGACACTACCTTGCCTACCTAAAAAACGTGATCCCCCTGACAGTTTTTTTACCCCCTTTGCTTTGGATCTGCGAAAAAAATCCCGAACCCCTTCACGCGGATCACAATATAAAAATTAACCCCGGAGAAAAGCCCGCAACTCTTTTGATCGGGTTCCATCTTTCGGTACTCACCGAAAAAAATATTTTCCGGAAAACCTTAAATACTACGCCGTAAAAAAAAATTTCCCCCTTTCTATACCCGCAAGGACTTTTTTTTCTCGATGGGGAAGCTTTTGGGTAATGGTTGGCCGGTGCAGTGCCGTCCCCCTCATGCATCCTCCCTAGCAGTCGGGTTTGGCATCGTTATACCTTTTGCAATGAAATAGTATGGCTGACTACGGAAGTACACACGAAGAGGATAAAATAAGAGATACGTCCCTTTAGACCCAACATAGTGGTAAAACTGTGAGAATTTACGCAATTTTCAAATAGATCGGCTGCCACCCTCTTAATTCTTCGCCCCTTGGCATTAACTGGCCTGCAAACTCGTATACGAATCGGGTATTAAACCGGGAGCACGAAGACTTGCCTAGGACGCCAGGATTTGATGCCTTACTTTGCGGCGAAGCGGTCATGCGTGAAAATCTTTTGCTGCAGTGCACAGCAATCTGCCAAAGGGATAAGAATAGAACGCATACAACATCCAGTATGTATTTCTGGCAATATATAGTGATAAAAAATGCTTGCAGCTAAAAGTGAAAGAAACAGGGAATATACGGCCTGTCAAAGTATGCGGAATAGCAGTCAAGAAATCATTGGGCAGTACAAAGAACCGGCGCAGATCTACTGTGGCGTTTGTATTGGCAACTTCTCCACGCGCGTCACCCAACCTTACTGCGTTCTTTGAGGATACAAAACTACCGCGGGAGGAGTAGTAACCGGAACAGAAGAAGAATAAATTGATAAAGAGGTTTGGCAAACCTCCTCGAAGAAGGGTTATCTTGACGCCTATTACAGTTCCACGGTGGAACCCCCGCCTGCCTGAAACAGTGTGTTCCTCTTTACAAAGGCGTTACACCCTCGGAGCACAGATGAAACCCTTCGATGAATTTCACGGCTCACGTATCCCATTGTAAAGTGGGACAAGGCATTAGCAGGAGGTACAGGCAAACCGGTACAACAAAAATTGTAGATGCATGGAAATTGCCCCCTGGCTTGCCGGGGGGATTACATAGTGAAAATGAGGGCTTATCTTTCAGCGAATGGAACCCGAACTCATTTAGTACGAGTGTCCAGAAAGAACGACCCGGGGAAAGAAAAACGAGATAACAAACGTTTTTTTCAGGAGGTGAACAACTAATTAATACGCTCTAAAAAAGATGGAAAAGAAAAAACGTGTTCGCGGTGTAGCTTTGATGGCATGGGGGGACGATACGTGGCTGAAGTACTTCAGCCCTCGCTTATAGCATTGGAAGAAGCGTTTGAAGGGGCTATGGAAGATCCTGCTTTTATAGCCGAGTTGGAACGCACGGCAAAACAGTTTATAGGCAGACCTACTCCTCTGCTTTACGCAGAAGCCAGTAGTAAAGCACTAGGTGGAGCACAGCTGTACATCAAGTTGGAAGGCTTGGCCAATACAGGAGCTCATAAAATCAACAACGCCATAGGGCAAGCGTTGCTAGCAAAACGCATGGGCAAAAAACGTATCATTGCAGAAACGGGTGCTGGACAGCACGGACTGGCCGTAGCAACCGCTTGCGCCCGGCTAAAGCTGGATTGTACTGTTTATATGGAGCTTAAACCAACGCAGAAAACGACCCAAATGGTTCTATAGAATGTTTGGAGCCACCGTGGAAACCGTACATTTCGAGGGCAAAAAATTAAAATATGCGGTAACGCGGCGCTTCAGGACGGGGGAAACATACCAATACCCTTATTTAGCGAATCGGCACTGGGCATCCCCCGACCCCGAATATGGTACGCGAATTTTAATGCTGTCAATCGGGAAAATGCAAAGAAAACTCACAGCACGGAAACAGAAGCCTTGCTTAGTGCTTCGGTAGGGGTGGCTCTAAATGCCATCGGCATTTTTCTCGAGTTTTCTTTAAAACCCAAAAGTCGCCTCATAGGGGCAGAAAAGCGGGGAAAGGGTGCGCTCCGGGAAAACATGCCCAGCAGGATGACGGGTCAGGAAAGAGTCGGCATTGTACAAAGCGGATACAAGTCCTTTTTTTTTAAGTGATTCTGACGGTCAAATAGCCGAAACCCAATCCTATCTGCGGGCTTGACTACGTACGGCGCCGTATTGTCCTGAATTGGCAGCATTAGGTATCCGTAAACGCATAGAATTACATCTGTTTGGGAAAAGCGATGCTCTAAAGATGCATTTTTTGCACGACACGAAGGGATTGTTGTTTCACTGGAGTCGCACCGGCGCTGCGCAGCAAACCCTCGCAAAAAACTTCCCCCAAAGAACATCAGTTGTGGTAACATTCCGGACGGGGTGATAAGACCTTTTATTCCGCACGCGACTTCAGCCAAAAACATGGAAACTTTTTGAAGAGGAGTAGCAAAAATCATTGAACCGATCACCTTCTAACATTAAAACCCCTCCCCGGTTATGGCTCATTTTCCCCCGTTACCTATTTGAAAACCCTTTTGGGGGGAACGCATAAAAGATGCGGGGGACCTATTGGGAAAGCAATTTCCCTTTTCCCACCAGCCCATGGCTCCACATTCAAAAAGCATGTACCATCCTAGCCCAAAGGTTTAGAGAAAAAGCTTTTAGTTTATAGAACCCAACCGTGACAAATATTTTTTATGACCCTTGAAATTTTCATACAAAGGAATAGAGCATTTTTACAGCGTTCAAAAACCGGCTCGAAGGGGTTTAATTTTACCCATCTACCACTTTAAGCACGAAGGGCCGGGGCTTTTTTAAAAACGCCGGCATTTTGGGGGGACCTTTAACTTTGGGGGGGCAAAAGCCCGGTTAGGAATTCTCCATGTATTAAAATTTTGGGTTTTCTATTTTCCTCGAAAGGTATCGGAGTTTTAACCGCACGGAGAACCCGACATAACAGTTTTTTACAATCCATACGCCGTGGTGAACGCAATTATTTGCCGGATTTGGTATTCCGATCCAAAACAAGTTATGTTTTTGTTTTGTTTTTGTTTTTTTTTTTTTTTTTTTTCTACTTTTCATACTTGTATTATGTCTCGTATAGAGGTCGTAGGTTCTTTTGTCCATTTGGAATGTATTCGTGACTTTGGAGCAGATAGCCCGAGATTTTTCCTTTTCCCAAATTTGATTTTGCAAAAAGCAAAAAGACATTAATCCCCTCAAACGCACACTCTAATCCCTTATTTTTTTTTTTTTTTTTTTTTTTTTTTTTTTTTTGTTTTTTTTTTTTTTTTTTTTTTTTTTTTTTGGGTTTTTTTTTACAAATATCCACAATAAAGATAAGAAGCCCACCCTTGAACTTACATATACCGGTTCGTAAATAGGGACTACCTACAAACTCAACCCCCTCAACGAGAGGGGGTAACGAAATAAGGGCATCCATGATTATTGTGTGCAGACGGGAAAAACCCGATTTTTGACATACCTTAGTCGCACACCTGATTCACAAGGAAAGGTAAAAATCCCTTTCTATATGGCGCTCACTTTCACAAAAAGCGGCAAAAGAAATGCGTGATCGTAGGAAAACATAATCGGTCTCGACACGAAATTTCTAGGGCATTGGGAACATTTCCCACTCAGTATTTGCACGTATATAAGGAAAGAAGCTGCTTTCTAGGGTTTATTCCCAAATTTCGTCATCCTCGAGTATACATTCGAAACAATTAAAGCCACGTGAAGGGAAATGGGACGGAGAGGCACAGTACAAAAGCAGGACCGTTTTTCAGCGTATATTAGCCGGCCCAAAACAGATTTATACCTGAAAAATTTATATCGAAAATCCTTCCTAACAGGGATGCGTTTCCAAAAATGCCCCAAAATTTGGGAACATTTATCGAAAACTACGTAATGAAAAAGTTTTAGGTGGTGCAGATTTATGATTTTACTTTTTCTACGATAATTGTTTAAGGAAACATCTCGATTTTTGAATAAAAACCACCCCGTATTCAATTTTTTTGGGACGATTTCGGGGACACCTTTTATCCAGTATTTCATCATTCTAAGCCGCTGCTGCAGTCAAAATATTTTTTAGTCGTAGATGCTCAAAGTATCAGGGTTTTTTCCCCCTGCCGACTTTACTAAATTTAATTTTAAAAAGGGGAACCAGACTTGCATGTAATAAACGAGCAAAATTTTACGTTCTACTAAAAAAATTGGAAGCTCCCAAATTTGGGGTTTTAAAAAATAAGGCCATTACAAAAAGGGTAGGACCGAAAATAAAGGGTGCCATCTTATTTAAAGCCGTTCGGACAACGAAGAGGGCAAGCTTGTAGCTCCTCGTATATTTGAAGAGAAGATGCAAAAATCAGTTGACATTAGATGATTTTTGCTATACTATACCGTACAAATAGGTCAAACCGATCTCCGGAAGACGCGTTAAAGAAAAATCAATTATTCAATACAAAATAGTAGGGGACTGCTTTTATCAACTAAAGGAGGTCAAGGGACTATCTGCCTATTTAAAGTTTGCTTCAGTCAACAAGATGAAGCCCCTTCGAAAATATTAATCTTTTCCAAAGCGAGGAATTTTAAATTAATACTACAATCGGTATAAAAAATTATTGGGCGCTTGACGAACACGCTTAAGTCTGGGAGTGCTATTTACAAAGATGCCCAAATCTACATAGGAGGTCGTGCTGCAGGGGCTATAAAGATTTTTGTCGCTCTAATAAAGCGAGTCGGTAGAAATAAAAAATAAAGATGCCTACGAGGCCGCACGGGAAATTGCAAAGTGCTCCGGGTTGCTCAAAAATTTATATGAAGATAAAACCATAGAAGGAATAGGGCGTTATGATAATATACAGGAATTATTCAACGCCATCAAAGAGTTTATAGAAGATCCCGAAAGAGAAGAAAAAAGTCTGGGTGCGTTTCTGCAGGAATAACGCTTGTTACCATCAAAATGAAAATAAGGAGCGGACGATGTGAAAAGGTAACCCCCCCATGACGATCAATGGCAAAAGGTTTAGAATCAGAACTGTATCGGAGGGTTGAGGAAAGATTTATTTTCCCTTACAAAGGCTCGCTGGGAAAATCAAGCGATTAGAAAAGAAAGAAGGCTTTTTATGTAGGAATTACCAGAGCAAAAGAGCGTCTATTTTTATCTACGCGCGAACACATGGTACCGGATTGGCGATGAAAAATTGAACCCAAGCCCGATTCCTCAAAGACGATTTCCCCAATTACAATAAAAAAGTCGTTTCACAAACTAAATTTTAGCTCAAATTCCGATTATGCCCGAAAGTTTATACGTCATCTTAAAACAACAACCAAGCCCAATGAGTCGAAAAAGCCCTATACGCCTCCTGATGACTTTATGCCAAGCGACACCTCCGGTCTTAAAGAAGGGATGAAAGTAGAACACTCAAAATTCGGTCTGGGCACTGTATTGGCTATCCATGAAAGCCGAGAAAGCCGAAAAGCACGAATTAATTTCGAGCACTTTGGAGAGAAAACAATATTACTTAGCTTTGCCAAGCTTAGAATATGCAAAGAATGAAATCCTTATGAATCTTGAATACAATACCCAACGCAAACCTATCATATTAAAAGAGTATGGTCGTAATGTACAGAAACTGTTGCATTATATCCGTGCCGAATCAGATAAAAACAAGCGAACCGATATGATCACCTCGCTGATTGATCTAATTAAGCAGGTGTCGTACGAAGCAAAAAAAACGACAGAAACCCACCAGCAGATATGGGATAATTTATGTATTATCAAAGCTGCATTTTGACCTGGATGTGAATAATCCCTATCCTATGCCCGATCGGGAAGTCTTATTCAAAAAACCGAAGATGATGGAATACCCCCAAGGCAAGATACTGTTTTTAAGCGATACGGAAAAACATTGAAAATCTGAGTTAAGAAAGTATTGGGAAATAGAGATGAAGAACGAGCGCATAAAAGGGCACAATTTACCTGGGACGGTAATGAAAACATTCCATGATACGTTGGAATAAGAATGCCATTTAGTGATGTGGTCTCTTAAAGACATTAAAGAGAATGTCGGGGAACAAGCTTTACTCTGAACCAGAAAAGATAGAAGAGGAGAAGCTGTTCACAAAATTATATCATGAACGAAAAAACCACATCAAACAAAATCAAAATTTCTGGAAAGAAAAGAGACGGTCAGGAGGTTCATGCGTAAAAAAATTAATCGAGTTCTTTCAAAGTCGGGTGGTCAAAATTACACGGAACGATTATCCCCACAAGGTGCCTAAAAATGAAGCCCTTCAAGTAATCTGGCCACGCTGCTTACTAAAGATCCTGTTACTCTACACAACGTTCCTAATATTATAGATGTTGCACGATCCATTGATATATCATTAAACACCTGCGGATCCCGGGTTATTCAAAACTGCCCCCGAACACATACCAATTTGTTTCCGAAACCATTCATACTGATTCTCTGTAAAAACAGAAACCTACAAGAAAAAAAGTAGGTTTGATACGGGATCAAATCATTGTTGCTTGGTCCAATTTGTGCACAATACGGCAAGCGTTGTATGCCTAAACTTGGAAAGGCGATAAAATCGAAGACGGAAACTGATTACGCATATTACCGGTCTATGCAAAAGATGGAGCAAATTCCGTTATGAAGAAGAAAAAAAAAAAAAGGCATGCTATTATCCATGCACCTCACCCATTAAAAGGGTGTGACATGATCTTGGACGAAGCCTCTGTGACCGGCAACGGCCAACATCATTATGGCAGCCGTACTCGCCGAGGAACAACTACGTCTGTACAACGCTGCATGCGAGCCTTTATATTCAACAACTCTGTCTTATGTTTGAACCGTATGGAGCGAAAATTCGGGAATCAAATCAAATTTGCTCACTATCGAGGGAGTAGACAAACTTACAGGAACAACACATACCGTACTACCCGATATGATCGAAGTAGGGAGTTTTATAGGTATGGCGGCCATGACGCAATCAGATATACTATAAACAAACTTGTAATATTGAGGCATTAGGTGTAATCCCCCGGATTTTAAAAAATGGGCATACAAAACTCAACTTACAGGGGAGATGATATTCACATTCCTGCCCAACAGGAATATGAAATAGAAACATTTATAGACGGGATCTATTCTTAGCACGAAGATGCTCCTGCCGGCCGGGCTTACCCCCGACCTGCTCAGCATTATCTTGGTCGTAGCAATACAGGCAAAAGGCACTCAGTGCTTATTCATCAAAAAAGTTGAGAGTCGTTTATTTTTTGTAGATAACCTGATTGACATGGGGGCTCAAATCATTCTTTGTGATCCTCACCGAGCTACCGTTATTGGTCTCAACCGGAAGTACTCCCTCACGAGGTATAACATGTCTTCCCCGATATAAGAGCCGGTATAGCTCTCCTATATAGCAGCTCTATCGCTCAGGGAAAAGTAACTATTTTCAATATTGAGCAAATAGAACGGGATATGAAAAATTAAAGGAAAAGACTCGAAAAGCTAGGAGCTGATATTCAGCAAATCGAATAGCCAGCACCTACTCTGAAAATTTATACATCTAATTTCCAGTGTACCGGACAATGATCCGATCCGTAATTTAAGAGTTTTTCTATAGAAGCCTCTTTTACAGCAGGAAGTAAATTTTGCTAGTCAAAAAATAGTCTATACGCCAACCCACATTTTTAGCACGAGAAATCAGCAAGTAATGCCAATACGTATAAGCTTCTTTGTCTGGATAGCGATAACGGAAAAGTATCTACAAGTTCCATATCAATAAGCCGGTTAAACCCATCTATCTCTCGTTGTGTATAACCTGCGTCGGATTTATTGTAATTTTCTTTAGATCGAGCTATATCGATTTCCTCATGAAGCCACGTTCAAATCTCCACAAAGAACAATCGTGTTTCTCTTTTTAGCCATTGATGTATTTCAAAAATGACCGATCCAATCCTCCCCCTGTAATCCAAGCGTGCTAAGGCTTGACCGGAATTGGGGTATATACAGGTAACCAGAAAAAACTGTGAGAATTCTTGCCGTAACCACCCTACCTCCTTGATCGTGTTCTCCAAACCCTATGTCGTACGTAACCTGAATAGGTATTTCTTTTGATAAAATAGCCGTACCGGAATATCCTTTCCTTGCTTTGGATGAATTGGCGTATACATGATACTCCTCCATAGTCGTCAGGGCATGCTTGGTTTCCTGTTGTGAAGCCTTGGTTTCCTGAAGGCATAAGACAATCAGGGTTAAGAGTGCGTATATTTTCAATAAACCCTTTCTTAACAATAGCCCGTATACCGTTGACATTCCACGAAATAAACTTTTTAATAGCCATGACTTACTTTTTAAATAAACTCAAACTCTTGATATGAAGATACTAAGTACATATCTTAACGCCAACAGATGGAACATTTTCGTACTCCTTTAATTATTAACCCGTCTTCGTGCCAAATCGCCACAGATACGTCCATACTTACTATTGGTTCTTGTTTCCGCCCATAAAGTATGGGACTCTACTCCAAAAGTATAAATTCACTGCTCTCTCCAGTCCTTCGGAACGGTTATAATCCTCCTCTATTCACAAAATACTCTGCTATGCATGCAACAACGAATTACCCAAGAACTCTACTTACGGAGAATCCAACGCGTTGTTCTTCAACTACGACTTCCATTCCTCTTTTTTCAGCATTACATAAAGCCAGCGTAAAACGTAAGATAGCACACACCATTCACACCGCTCATCAATTCCTTCACCATACTCACTTTATCCTATTCACTTACGGAACAGCCGTGGGTATATACCATCAAAAAAATACGGAAGATAATTGTATCGAACTGCCATAAAGTTCCCCAAAAGTATTTTACCAAAAACCTACTCAACCAAGAAAAAATCCTTGCTTCATTCAATACAATGTATGAAGCCGTAAAGAAGCTGAATCCTCAGGTAACCATTATCCTTACCGTAAGCCCCGTACGGCATCTCAGCGATACGCTCGAACTGAACGCCGTAAGTAAATCTGCGTTACGACTAGCTTGTCATACCATAACACAACGATACCACAACACATTGTATTTTCCGGCTTATGAAATTATGATGGATGACTTAAGAGATTATCGCTTTTATACCCGGGATTTAATTCACCCGTCTGAAGAAAGTATAGACTATATCTGGAAGCGATTTACCCAATTTACTGCCTCAAAAAAACCCCAAGAACATATAGACAGTGGAAAAAGATAATGAAATCTCGTCGCATAAACCTACATACTACAAAACCTCTAAATCACATCAAGAATTCCTCAAAAAAACCATTGCAAAAATTAGAGAAAGTACAATCCAATATCGATGTGAGCAAGGAAATATCTCTGATCAAAAAAGCAAATTATATCATAGTCTATTACTCTCATAACGAATGAAAAAAAATGATTAAATTACTTTTTAAATTATGACCGCTTTATACACCAGTCCGATACCACTGGTTCACACCGCGAAGAAGAAAAGCCCCAATCGCTTATTGAAGCCTCCAGTCCCTATCTGAGACAACATGCCTATAATCTTGTGGATTGGTACGAGTGGGGTGCTGTAGCGCTGGAGAAAGCAAAAAAAGAAGATAAGCCCATACTCGTAAGCATTGGTTATTCTTCCTGTCATTGGTGTCATGTAATGGCTCACGAATCTTTTGAAAACGAAGATATAGCCCGAATCATGAACGAACATTTCGTAAGCATTAAAGTTGATCGAGAAGAACGACCGGATATCGATCGAGTATACATGGACGCCGTACATGCTATGGGCATGCAAGGAGGCTGGCCGCTCAATGTATTTACTACGCCTGACGGAAAACCTTTTTACGGAGGAACCTATTTTCCTGCCAACCAGTGGGCACAAGTACTGATTACAGATTTCAAAAGCCTACAAAGAAAGCGTTCCAATATAGATCATACAGCAAGCCGAATTGACCAAACAATTAGCCAAGAGTGAAATTTCTATGATTCCCGACAAGGCCTCTTCGTGTGTACCAGGAGGGCATGGATGCGATGTATAAACCATTGGGAACGATCGATAGCCCGCGTGGGGAGGTATGGGTACGGCACCCAAATTCATCCACATGCCCGGCACAATGGCTTTTCCTCCTGCGCTACCATCACAAAAAATAAAGATGCCAAAAAGTTTGTAGTATGGTGAACAAACATTAAATAGAATAGCTATGGGCGGCTATTTACGACCAAGTAGGAGGAGGTTTTGCCCGCTATTCCGTAGATCTTAAAAATGGTTTGCCCCCCATTTTAAAAAAGTGCTTATGACAACGCGCACAGCTTAAGCCTCTACAACGTGAAGCCGTATACCCTTACGGGCAATGCCTTGTATAAACGCTATCGTAAACGAAACTATTGCTTGGCTTAAAAGAGAGATGACCGGAACCGAAGGCGGGTTCTATTCTGCTTTGGATGCCGACAGTCAAGGCAAAGAGGGTGAGTTTTATGTCTGGACAAAAGAAGAATTTGACAGTTTATTACACCATCAGCCTGATTGGGTTGCCCATTATTATTCAATAGAAAAAAAAGGAAACTGGGAAGACAAAAAAAACATCCTTTTTATCAAGGATACGGATAAGGTCTTTGCCACCAAAAACCATATTACGCTGAGTGAATTGGATTCATCTTTAAAAGAAGCTAAAAAAATCTTACTTAAAGAACGAGATCAGCGTATAAAACCCGGTCTGGACGACAAAATCCTCACAGGGTGGAATGCTATGATGCTATGCGGATTAATCGACGCCTACAATTCTTTTGGCGAACCTGCATTTCTCGCGTTGGCTAAACAGGCTATCCAGTTTTTAGAAAAAACAGTAATAGACGAAAAAGTGTACCGTTCTTTCAGAGAAAAACGCTCTCCGGTGGAAGGCTTTATGGAAGACTATGCGTTTCTTATCCAAGCCTATATGGCCCTATACCAAGTTACCTTCAACGAAGAATGGATTTGGAAAGCAGAACGCTGGACAAATTATGTACACAACCATTTCTTCGATGAAAAAGAAGGGTTTTATTACCTTACAGCAGATTCAGCAGATTCGTTGATCGTTCGCAAAAAAGAAATCTTTGATAATGTTATCCCTTCTTCCAATGGTGTCATGGCTCGCAATTTGTACCGCTTAGGTATATTAATGGACAAAAAAAGCTATACTGCACAAGCTAACCAAATGATAACACGGCTAAGTGTCTCATGCACCCAAACCCCTCCTACTTTCCCTTACTGGGCATCTGTACGCAGAAAGGGTTTGAGATACAGAATCGTAATCGTGGGCAAAGGACCAATATACAGCCCAAAATTACGAATGCATATACTCCTTTTTTCTCTTTTAGGGGAACCGAACCCCAAAGTAAACTCCCCTTTTGTAAAAGGGAAAAAAAATAGGGAAAAACAAAGGGCAACCCCATCTATGTATGTTTAATAAAACCTGCAAATACCTACTACAATAGAGAGGCTAGGAAACAACTAAAATTTGGTAAGTATGGTAAATCCATACGTACCGGAAACGATACAAGCAATATACTTTCTCAATCTGATAACCGTATTTTTTATCTCCTTTCGGATCATTCCTGTCACCAAACATGGCGTTGTAAACCAAGTCTATCCTGATTATGCAACAAAAGGAGTCAATATCCAATATACCCCCATCGTTTGCGGAACTTATACTGCCCGTGCCTATACCCAAACTCTTCACCTATCAAATACCCGATAAGCTACGCCCCATTATTAAAATCGGGCAACGTGCTATTATACCGTTTGGGATTCAAAAAAAAAAAAAAAAAAAAAAATTCTTACCAGGGAATAGGTTTTCCTCGACTCCACACAGATATTTCTTCTCAGGAATATGAAATTAAAATCGATCCTTGAGTTGATTGATGAGCGTATTGTCATCCACACCCAGCAATTTGATGTATATGAATGGATATCTTTCCTATTACATGTGCAGCCTAGGCGATGTAATGAAAGCTGCTTTGCCTTCAGTTTGTCGGCTCTCCAGCCGAAAGCAGATAACAAGTACATCCCTCTTTCAAATTTGGGGAAAACCTTCTTTTTCGTTCTCTTGAAAAAGAGGTATCCATTCTTCAAAAATGTGACATCCTCTTCTCCACTAGTTATACCGAGATAGCCAAGTTGTTAGGTACCGAAAAAATAATATGGTAAATATGAAATCACTCTCCTTCTAAAAGCCATTATTCTGTTTGAACATATACGGGAAAAATACAAACCCAAAACAGAAAAACGGATTCGACTTGCCTCGACTTTTCACTCTAATGAAACCTTAAAAGACTCTTTGAAATCTAAAAATAAACCTTAAGCAAGAAGAAAATAGTTATTAAAATATCTTCAACAGTATTCCCATTTCTGCTACCTTCCGAGCAATGTGTCAAAGAATATGGCGTCAGACGGTATTAAATGGCAAGAGGGTTTTCTCCCAATCCGCTCGCGTGCTCACTCAGTAAAAAAAAAATAATAGAAGAATTTAAAACTATTGTTCCGCGATATAAATCAAACCTATCTGATACGCCCGTAGCACCCGTATTGAACGAAAAACAAGTCCTTGCCCGTGATCTCATCCTGCACTACTTCAAAGAAAAAAAAGCCGTTCTACTACACGGTGTTACCGGAAGTGGGAAAACAGAAATATACATTGATCTAATCAACCAAATACTGGAACGTGGTCAACAAGCACTTCTTCTCGTACCCGAAATTGCACTTACTACACAAATGGTGGTTACGTTTGAAAAAAGCGGTATATGCTCGCGTAGGGGTATACCACTCAAAATTCTCAGATAATGAACGGGTAGAAATATGGAATGGGGTACTCTCGAAAGAGTTTCCCCTTTATTGTGGGGGCACGTTTGCTCTCTTTCTTCCCTTTGATAATTTAGGATTAATCATCGTGGATGAAGAGCATGATTCTTCCTATAAACAACAGGCTCCAGCTCCTCGTTACCACGCACGCGACGTAGCCCTCATGATGGGAACGCTTTACCAAGCCAAGGTTAGTATTAGGCAGCGCTACACCTTCATCGGAAAGCTACTTTCAAGCTATGAAAAAATAAATACGGCTTAGTTACGCTAACCGAGCGCTACGGAATAGCAAACCTTCCTCATGTTCTTTTAGCCGATATGACCTTGGAGCGGCGGCGCAAAACCAACCGGGGTAAATTTTCAGCATTACTGCTCAACGAAATTGAAAAAGCCTTACAAAATCAGGGTCAGGTGCTTATTTTCAAAACCGCAGAGGCTATGCCCCCATAATTCAATGCGAAGACTGTACTTGGATACCGCAATGCGTTCAATGTTCGGTAAGCCTCACATACCACCAAGTTCATCATAACATGATATGTCATTACTGCGGTTTACCGCAGAGGCTTTCCCCTCCCAGTGTCCGACATGCAGTTCAAAACGTATTCTCACGAAAGGATACGGCACCGAAAAACTGGAAGAAGAACTGAAATTACTTTTTCCTGAAGTACACGTACAGCGTATGGATCGAGATACTACGAGAGCACGAAACAGCTATGAATCCATTATTGAAAACTTCGAAAAATCCAGAACTCAAATTCTAGTAGGTACTCAGATGATTACAAAAGGACTTGACTTTGAAAATGTTGTGTTATCAGGAGTATTTGATGCCGATCGTATGATGCATTTCCCCGATTTCCGTTCTCACGAAAAAAACATTTCAACTCATCACACAAGTGAGCGGACGATCCGGTCGCAGAGACAAAAAAAGGTAAAGTAGTAATTCAAACAACCGATCCTTCAGATAAAAATTTTCCCAGTATATTCTTCATCACGATACAGAGGGATTTATCAAAAATCAGTTGCACGACAGGCAAGCACACTTCTACCCTCCTTATTCACGGCTTATCGAAATAACGGTAAAGCATACCGACAGGCTGCGGTGTAAGGAAGCGGGCAACGCATTTAGAACAGCGCATAAGCTCTCGTATAAAAGGGATTACTGTACTTGGACCAGGCGAACCGGTCGTGTCTAAAATAAAAAATGAATTCATGATGACCCTGCTCATCAAACGGGCACGCGGGAAAGAAAAGCTACACGAAACCAAACTCTCATTACAGCAAACAGCCGACCGGATGTTGCTAATGAAGGAATACCGATCTGTACAAATACTATTTAATGTAGATCCTCTATAACACGTACAACGAATATAAATTATTCTTTCTACAGTTCTTTTTCAAAGAAACCTATCCTAGTTTGATATCTAAAAATACTTCGCTACGGAACAGGAACATTTTATGCTTAAAAATTTCCTTTTTGCTAAAAGATTCTTGAAGTAATAAAATAGCATAAAGAATTTTACGGTATACGATCCCGTATTCTTCAATGCTACCGGAGTCAGAAAAGTGAATAAGTATAAAATATATAGTTAACCATCATGTTACATGCGCAGTATATGAGGCTTTACTATTTCTAGTTCTTACTCATAAATGCAGAATACATCCACACCATTTTTTCCTGCGCCCTGATATAATCGCTCATTTGTGCATTAGTCCCTTCATCATTGATTTTTTCCGATAGCCGCAATATATACCGTTGCTTTGTCAAGAGTATTTTTACAGCGTCCAAAATCTCCCGCACAGCCCGATTCCCATCGCTTACCTCATCGCTTTCAGCTATTGAGGAGGAACGAAAATAATCCGTAAACTTATGATCGGGTGTATGTCCAAGAGTTAATATACGCTCGGCTAGTTCATCGATTTTGATAAATAAATCATTGTATAATTCTTCAAATTTCAGATGAAGTTCAAAAAATTTATCCCCTTTAATATTCCAATGATACCCCCTTACATTCTGATATAAAACAGAATAGTTAGAAAGCAAGTCATTCAGTGCCTCTGCCAGTTCTTTACTTTTGCTTTTGTCCAGTCCAATGTTTGTTAACGTATCCATAATATTCTATGTATTAAAGCCTAAATTTAGGTACTATTTTTTGCAGTATAAAAAAAAAGTTCCTGTGAGAGTAAAATAAAACTATATAACCATTTGGTTCGTGATGATTCAGGGGTGTCATTTTTTAAAAAAAAAACCATTCAAAAATCTATTTTTTTTAGTGTAGCCTTCCGTATTTGCGTTATATGCTGCATGTTTATTTATTATGTTACCTAAAAACAGCATTGGAGGTATAGCTATTGCTCCTGATGCACACCTTTGAAGTAGTCTTCATTTCTGCTCAAAACCGGAAAAACAAATTATGAACTTTATCCGTTCGGAATAGCCGGTTTTTGGGGTTTCATTACCACATCACAAATGTATCCTTTTGTATCGTAAAATATATGTGAAACCTCTAGACCCGACTGAGAGGCTAGGTCGGTTATCATCGAGAGATCATACTTTTGCGATACCTCCGTATGTATGGGCTCCCATTTGTCAAAATGAAGCGATTGATTGAGTGCCTCAACAAATACATCTTGTTCTTCCCTGCTTATCAGGTAGCTTTTTGTAGTACCCGAAGCGGGGTCATAAAAAGGATAGTGAGCAAAATGATTAAGATCAAATCGGGCACCCAATTCCCGGTTGAGTCGTGTTAATATATTCAGGTTTAAATTTTTTTGTAATGCCTCCCCGATCGTCGTAAGCTGGCCTGAATCAGGCGAGGGTCTTTCTTAAGATCAAAGCTCATCATAAGTATATCTTTAGTGTGCATGTTGGTCCAACATATCGAAAAAGTGTACCGTTCTTCTACACTAAAATTTTCCCAAAAATACTACTGGCCCAGAAAAAAAATAACCTTTCTTTTTTTGTCAGAGATATACAGTTCTTCAAGAGCTTGCTGGTATAGTGCATTCCGAGGATGGCACAGGCAAGATCCAGGCAAAGTTTTACCCCATTCGATTCAGTGATTTGGTTCAATACATTTTCTGATATGTCTATAGGGGAATATAGGGTAAAAATGAAAATTTTTGGCGTACCAAATGAACGTAGCAGGATTTCTGTTTTAGTAGCGTCTCCGGGGCACCCAACTCCACCAAAGATTTAAAAAGAATCATCATTCATCAACTATATGCTTAATTATTTGTTCTTTCTGCTGTTCGAACAGGTTCGATTCACATGCCGTTAAATAATATTCAGGCCCATCTTCATAATTTACATTGAAACAACCGATCCCCCTCTTGATCATAATACAACCAACTGGGCAAACTCTTACGTTTTTTGAAAAGACCTTTTTTTACAGTCTCCAGCACTTTCTGATCGTAAATTTTTGGGCTTCCAATATCAATTTGATTATGTTTGTTTTCTGCAAAGACGGTTATACCCGTAAACTGCCAACCAAAATAGGGTTTGAAAAAAGTTTGCGAATAAGTTTTTTTGGAATGACCAGGAGCTGTAAATACCGAACTTCCACGCAGTACCATCTGGTTTTTACCATAAACTTACTTGTTATATTCACCAAAAGAGCGGCCAAAACAGGCTTGCTTGAAGCCGGGGGTTATGGCAGATAGGCACTGTTTGTATGTTCCCACCGCTGCCCCCAGGTAAACAAATCGCTCGCTGCTTCCCATTCAAATTCAGTAGGTAACCTCATATTAGCCCATTCAGCAAATCCAGCTGCTTCATAATACGTTGCATGGGTCAATGGTTCTCCCAAATCTACGGGAACCAGACCCGATAGGGAATACCTGTTCCATACACCGTCTATTTTATGCCAATATAATGGAGCGGTAATATTGTTTTTCACGAATCCATGTCCATGCATCGCTCTGCCAATAACTGCTTCGGGTGTACCCCGCCCGCCTCGATAAACAATATAACTTTCATTTTTTTACAAAAGGCTCTCTCTTATATGAAAAAGGGGCAAGAAAAGTACGGTGAGGTTCTCTCTCATTATCGTATGAGAATCCTTCTCCTTTAAATCCAATTTCATAGTTACCTCCAGAACATTCAATAAATTTTGTGCCCTCGTTTTGCTCAGAAGTTTCGACAATATGTTCATCGTACGGAGGAAACAGCGGGTTATGACCAAGTATGAATTTCAGATCGGCATACAAAAGCTCGTGATGCTGCTGTTCATGATGAAGACCCACCTCCAATACATCAAGAGCTTCTCCTGTTAATTCAGGTATAAGTTCGATTACATGGCGATCCACATATGCACGGTAGTCCCTTATTTCTGCTACTGTCGGACGAAGACATATGACCTCGGTTGGGTTGAGGGACACGAGCTCCCACAGGCATCGTAGTAACTGTTAAAAAAAATCATAGCGAGGATGAAAACGTTACATATTTCTTTGTTTGTATTTTTGGAGAGAAGAAATTCTTCAAAAAACCACCGTAGTAAATGAAGCCATGTGCCATTTAGGCGACTTACATTATGAAAGCAGGTTGGGACTACAAAACTTCCACCCGAAGAGGCTTGCATATCTTATCGGTCAGATCAGAAATTGATCTATATCGATCTAAAAAGGTCTCTGTCATCATACCTAATAACTGAATAGACACCTGAGCAGTAAAAGTAAGTATAATAATCCAAGAAGCCACAATTTTTTTGTTTAGACTTCTTCATTTTTTACCTTTTAAAGAGAGTTTTACCTTATTAAAAATAACATGCAGGCGTATAGTATAATCATTCTCTCCATAATTTAGATATCCCGATAACGTTTCTATTTCGAATCATTTTTCCATAAACAAATTAAAAATGAAATCGTGTATAAGTTTCTTTCAAAAGCTTATTCTCCGTATATTAGATTCTATTTTAACATGCTGTATTTATTTAATTACAGCATCGCTGCAAGCGTATATAGTGGTTCATCTTCCAAATTAAAAAGTATACCCTACCATGAAAAAAATTCTTTCTTTTGGTGCAAGCAATCATAAGTATTCCATCAATCGACAACTGGCTCATTTTATTGGAGAAAAAATTTGGGAAAAAGCTGAAAGTTTCATTTCTGGTTTGAAAAGTTTTTTAAAAGCCCTATTCCGTTTTAGAAAAAGAAAATCAAGATGGTATTCCCAGTGAAGCTCACACCTTCAAAGAGCATATAATCAAAACAGATGGCATTATCATTTCTTTAGCCGAATACAACGGAAGCTATTCCTCGGCCTTTAAAAATATTATGGACTGGGTATCGCGTATTGAGGGAACTATGTGGCAAGAAAAACCTATGTTTTTACTGGCTACGTCCCCGGGGAGTCGAGGAGGACAGAGGTGTTCTCGATCAAGCCATTACAACGATTTCCCGCACATGGGTGGAAATATTAAAGCTCACTTCTCTTTACCTTTCTTTGAAGATAATTTTTCTACAAACAAAAGGCATCCTCGACAACGTTCTTTAACGCATCGTTTACCAAAGAATTAGAACAATTCAGAAAAAGCCTCTACCCACGGCAGAGTTGATAAGATACTGCCCACCCCACCCTTTGCTTCACGCAGAAACTCATTCCCGGCATACCGCCGGATACGACACCTGCTACAAGAAACCTTTAGTTCTAACCATAAGAACTCATGCCTTCCCGTTCTGACCGGAAACATTATTTGTTTTTTCGGATAGATTTTTTTATTAAATTCTTCTGGAGGATCGTCGTCTGTTTTGCCTATCGGTGCGATCCGGCGGGCTTTTTTCAAAATCTATTGGCAGATCCATTTTTGTATAGGCTTACCAATCAATTTTTTCTATAAAGGATACGTTCGTTGATCCATGTGGTTTATGAAGGTAACAGCCACTCCTGCACGACCTGCCCGGGCCGTTCTGCCATACGATGAACGTAATCTTCGGGATTCA